CAGTAACCACACACCATGAAGGAACGTTAGGTTTGTAATGTAGTTGTTAACTGAATTTGTATGTTATTTTCACCACGATCATAATAATAAAGTTTATAAATAAATTATGAAACATCATCACTGATTTGATTCCATATAGTCCATTTATCGAGAAATTTATATAATATTAAAGAAAAAATCATCAAACGTGAGGATCTTTACTCTTAATGCGTGTGATTTTAGTCATAAAAGAAAAATTGTCTAATATATTCGTTTTACAGTGATATTACACCTAGGTAAACAATACCAAATAACGGCACGATTAATATAATTTGGAATCTATAGCATGAGTTCAGAATCTTGTTAGAGATCTCCTCTCCAGGGCGAACAGAATTTTGGGATACTTTACAGTTTCAGAAGGCGCCATTCAGTCTAGATTCCTTCGTGTTACGAAATATGTCAAGAACCTAGTAGATTTTGTTTTAATAAAAGACGAACGAACGATATTTTTTAGTTTAAAACGCCCACGACATCAACTGGACTCGGACATCAAATTCTTGTGTATAATAGTTCATATCCAGACATTAAATCGTCGAAACATTCCTGGTCTTGAAAGAATAACATAATGAAAAACTGGAGGGAAATAATTGTGATGTAAGCACTACACTTAAACTTTTCCATTTTGTAGAACTCGCAGAAAGCTCGTTATCTTACATCATACGTTTAGAGAGCCCTTTTGAAAATATGAAGCAACTTACGTGAAAACAGTCAATTCGAAACCGTCAGTGCGCTATAGTTATTTCTTGAGGCAACGGAAGAAACATTTATTTCAAACATAGCATTTTAAAATCTACAAAAATGAGGTGAGATTCAAAAACAAAGCATGATGAACTAGTCCTAGTGTATAGAAATATAGCGAGCACGCGAAGAAGGGCTTTGCCATCTAAGTGCAGTTCAGCGCTTGCGCGCCTACGCTAACATTTTTTTCACGCGAATATATGCAACCACCGTCTTTCGTACTTGATCAGTACTATTGATGTCTTCTACTAAAATATAAACTTTTTTCGAAACCACTTATTTTTAATCAACAAATATATACAATGTTACGCTCTTAAAGTTCCAAATTTAATAACAATTTGTTCAGGCCGTTTTTTTAAGAAAAATGATTTAATAAAATAAAAATTGCCTGTTTGACACATCTCGCAAAAGAAACCCACAGAACAGATTTTTCGAAAAATTGCATATGGCATTAATTCAAGATATGTTTTCGAAAAACACATTTAACTAAGAAAATGTTAATCTTTTTAATTGTAAATATAGGAATACGCCAAAAAAATTTGCAAGTTTCAAAAATTAGAATTTACAACGAATAAGTGACCGGCGCCATTCTTTAAAGCACCTTACCAGAGGTCAAAATTGAATCAAAATGGTTGGTGCTGTTTTTGAGAAAAAATGTGTAAACCAAATTAAAATATCAATTTTTCACGCAAATTTGTTCGAAAAGTACTTGAACTTTTGAAAAATTGGACATGACCTATTTCAAAATCTATCTTCAAGGAACAGATTTAATTAAGGGAAAAGTATCAATCGTTACTATTTTTGTTGTAGGAAGACACCAAAAAATTGAACTTTTGCAGTTTTCGAAAAATTCGTGTTTTTCAACGAACTTGTGACTTTCGCATTTCTGTTATGTGTCTATTTCGCTATCCGACAACAAAATCTAATTAAAATGTTTGATACCATTTTTATGAAAATGTTAAAGGTATCCCAAGCGCTTCACGTTAAATGCTTCCTCCTCAAAAAACTTAAAATACCAGTTTTAAAATGAAAGAGCCGCGACATCAGCCAGACTGATTGAGGAATATCAATTTTGGAGAAAATCATATGAACGGTTTAGCGGCTAGCGTAGTTCAGAAATGGACGACAGATACGCGGAAAGACGTTCTGCCTTCAATCGATTTTTCAGTATCAAGGGCGCACAGAACAGATTCTGGCTACACCATGTGTTAGAGGAATTTTAACCACAATATTCGCAGGCTTTTGTTTATCACATTTATCTGTTTTCATCCCTTTAATCATTTAAAAAGTTTATATTTGATCACGTACCTTTCGACTTTTCCCTTCAGCAGTCTTTCATATAATATTGTTGTTTTCGGTCTAATTTCCAAAAAGCTTAATATCTGTGCTAATTTTTTTTTAAATATGTACTCTCTTCTTTATTTTTTACGTCCAGTCTATTTGTTAATAAACACATTTCCTTATATCCGGCTCAATTTTAAATTAATCGCCGTGCTTTTCGTGTTCCTTCACTTGTTTACAGTGCAATGTCATTTTCAATATTAATATTTAATAATTCAAAGTTAATACTTTTGACAAATCCGTATGGATTTTCACAGTATGGAGGAGTGAGGATAGAACAAGGAAGGAAGTACGAGTAATATCGCGTGTGGTCCGTAGCCCGGTTGTTAGGGCACTGCTCCGGCATTCACTTGATATTGATCGGAGGAACCACGGAAAACTATTGCGCAGAGCAGCCTGCCACTGTCATAAAAGTGGATCAATCTTGATCCAATAAGTAGTAAACTACATCCTCTGACAAGTTATGTAGTTAGAATTCATGTTCTGAAAGTCCTTGATACCGAAAAATAGATTGACCGCACACTCTTCTGTTCGTCCGTCTGTCTGACTGTAGCCTCTGAATAGTTTATATTCAGATCGTGTTCTCCAAAATTAAAATTCCGTGAGAGAACGTCAGTCTCCTTGAATTTCAAATTGATATTTTGTCTTTGAGGGTGCATTACACGTTTCCTTAACAATTTCTAAATTTCCTCAAAAATGGCACCAACTTTTTTATTAAACTTTGTTTGAATTGATTTAAGGTCACTTAAAAGAATGGTACAAGTCTTTTTAGTTCTAATCACTAATTTAATGAAAATTGCAGAAGTTCCCAACTTTTTCAGCGTCTCCCTACTACAACATTGAATATATAGATTTTTCCTTAATTCAATGAAAGACTGGTCTTGTAACTTTTTTATTTCTTTATTTTTCCACGGATAAGGCAAACTGCGCCTAATGAAATCATACAGATCGCTTTTTTTCGAATTCGCTGTAATTTTGATATTCGCTCTAAATTAGCATTGTTAAATTGCAATATTAATGACAGAGATTTTTTTACTAGTGAAATCTATTTTTAAAACCAAACCTTTGTATAGACCTCGTACATATATGATGATAATAGTCTTCCTGAAATGTCTACTTCAAGTAAAATAGTTTTATTTTAAAAATTCACAAAAAGCACTCCATATTTTCTTTAAATAGTTTGCTTGGATAATTAAAAGAACTTCTAAAAATAGCTCCTATCTCATTTTCCTTGATCTTGTTGAATTTAAAAAAAATTGCAAAAGTTAAAAATAATGCGAGAAATGAGTGTATCATCGTTAATTACACTAAGACGTAATTCACGCAACCAAACATTAGCGCACTTCCCTTTTTATTTCTTCGTATAAGCGGAGTAATATACCTATTGTAGAGAAAATTGTTGTTTACAAAAGTAGAAAATACTCGCAAAAATAGTTTTCGAAAATACGTTTTGAGTTCCCCTGATACAAAAAAGTGCTTTTTACGACCGTCCGCTTCTCCGTTCGTCCTGCAGTCTGTGAACAACTCTTAAAGTCTAAACTATTCGTAGGATCTTTTCCAAAATGGTTATTGCCCGGTCTATCTGACTAGATTCAAAGCTCTGTGATTTAGAAAATCATTTTTTTAAAGTTTAGGGGTACTTCCAATATTTTCAATATTTTTAAGAGCTTCCAAACTTTGTTAATGTATCTTTCGGGTTGACAACGTACGCATTTGCCTTGTCAACTTTTTCTTTACAATCTTCTATACTAATATATAAAGACAGAATTGCGTTGACTTACAACGCGATAATCTCTGAATCTACAGAACCAATACCGATGAAACTTTTGTGATAGTTTTCTTTAAAAGTCTGGAGTTCTATACGCTATGATTTATAACCATAAACCTGAAAATATTTTCAAAACACTTTTCTCCAAACATAAACCATAGTATTTAACAAAACTTTTCGCGTGTTTGTGTTGGTCTACAATATGTCGAAAATTACCCAAAACAGTATTATGGGAAGAAGTGTATTCTGTGCAGGTTTCATAAAATTCTTTTATCGCTGTCTTACCCCACATACAACATGAATTATGAGTACCGACGAAAATGACCATTTTGGTATGAATTTATAAGGAAATATTCACCATGCTTATAAGCCAACCAAGCCGCGTTGGCAACCACCGTCTGCAGCGAAAACTGCTACTGCCACCGTCGCCTCCGCCAGGTTGTGTTCTTAACTTCTAATTTTTTAAGTCTAAAATACGCATTTATTTGTAGAATGTGTGATGATACATTAGCTTTCAAAGAAGTAGTTTTCGCACTTGGTGTTTTACGATTTGTAATGAGTTTTACTAGTGATGACCGAGATGTATTAATATGGAAAGAAATTGCTGTATTAAAATATTGAGTAACAGTTACTAATTGAGAGAAAATACGTGCTGTTGTATCCCCACTATACTTCGATTTACATATAACATGACGCGCCAGGGCCCGTCTTCACGATGGAATATCTCACGCCATTCTCGGCCTCGTTTTTTTTTTGGTCGTGCGGCTAGATGCAGCTAGACACATTGCACTGCATGATTCGGTCGCGACCCTACATCTTCTAGCGGTATGATCGAGAAATATATTCCTTCCCTCGTGAAGACAGACCCTGACGCGCTACGTTATAAAAACCGAAGTATGTGTTTCTTTTTCTCGGATAGTTTTACTTGCGTTTGTAAACATGGCGCAAGAACGATTTTCATCTAACTCTGAATTTTCGAAAATTGCAAAATTGACCAATGATGTGAATAAAAACATGTGATGTTGAACCACTATTTATGTATTCAACAATGTTTTTTCGTAGGTTGAGTGTACTAATGATGCTTCCGTTTATATCATCGCTGGGGTGTGCAGCTTGGCATGCCAGAAAGGGACGTTATTGGCTTATCAATGAGGTGCTAGCTACGGATTATGCACAGGATATATTCAGAACGTCTCTGAAAAGTCTTCTTTTATGCTTGGACGATCCCCGACCCCTCCAGGTGATGTAACACATCAAATTATTTGCGCTGTGTATTGACTCTGGGCGTAGTGTATTGACTCTGGCCTGAACTGCAGAGGAGGTAGGATTGTACTTAACTCGAACTTCTAGAGAGTGTGCGAAATGTTTCTTTACACATGCTGACTAGAATAAATGTTACAATCTTCTTGGCCATTAAAAAGACGACGCTGCCGCCATCTCTGCAGCACCTTTCACCGGGAGGTCCTAGGTTTCGAATCCAAGCGCGATGGCAGGAGTTTCGAGACTAGGTTGGTGGCTAGGTCGACTTCAGCCTGTCTCGAGGAGAATTGTAGTCGGCTGTTCCGATCGGTAGTTTTCTGTGGTTTCTCCGATCAACACCAGGCAAATGCCAGAGCAGCACCCTAACAAACGGGCCACGGACCGCGCACGGTCTTCCCTGCCCCATTATTGTCCCTTTCTCACCCCTTACACACATTATTTCCATGGAAAATATGAGTTAAATATGATTTTATGTACAATAACTAAAATTATACAACATTCGCAATCACAATATAGGTCATATTCTGAATTTTTAAACCCTTTATCATTTTTCGTTAATTTTTTTATATTATGCTTATATTTGTAAATGAATTTTCGTAGTTATGTCATATTTTTATATTTTGTCATATCTCTACAGTATCTAATTTCTTACGGTTGCATTTAATTGTTGTTTGTCTTTCCTATAAATATACACTGGTGTTTGTGAAAGTTGTAACTCCAAGAAGGATACATATTATTATAATAAAATTTATTCAACAGATTAGGACTATCACAAAATACTAATGATTAGAATTATAGAACTGTACATGCATTTTGACCTTGAGTATTTAGTACGGTGTGGTAGGGTGTGAGGCCGCCATGCACTGCCATCAGGGCCTCAAGACGTTGTGGCACGGATTCAAAGAGAGCCTGAATATGCTGCTGGGATTCACACCTCCACGCTGTTTCTCTGCGTGACCTCACAGCATCGTAAGCGGCTATAGGGGGACCTGAACGAACAAGTTGCCAACCGATCGTCTTCCAGACACGTTCGACGGGCGACATGTTAGACGAATGTGCAGGCCAGGGACGCAGTGGTACTCGTCGTTCGTCGAAGAAAACTTCCTCGCTAAATGCGATCGAGCATTGTCCTGCTGAATTATGGGAGTTGCTTGCTGGAGGGGCAGTACCTCGGACTTTAAAACCTCCCTGATGAATCGATTGCTTTTCAGATTGCCTCCAATGGGCGAGATCACACATTGTAGCCAATAGCTTCCCAAACCATTGCCCTCGGCGTTTGTTCGCTATGACGCGGAACAATACTGGCTGGTAGATCGCCACGGTAGCGTCGACGCCGTAAGCGGCCATCGCTGTAGCACAAATTGAAACGGGACTCGTCTGAAAAAACTACATTTTGCCCCTCAGCACCCCAGTGAACACGGTCACGTGTCCATTGCTGTCTGAGGCGTTGGTGGTTTCTGGTCAACGGAATCCGACGCTGTGGTATGCGTGCAACCAGTCCTCCGACCATTCCAAGTATTCTTTCTGGGTGTTGCAGTATTCACAAAAACCAGTGTATGACCTCCAGCTCTCACAAGTGTACGTCATATAGATTGATATGTATTTTCAAAAGGAAAGGGAGGCCACAGCCAAATGTAGGGAGGGATTCCTTGTGAGTGCACAACGCCAGACAGCATCAATGTAAAAAATCAAAAATCTTGCCTGGTATCTTCCTTTCTCATTAAGATTGTTAACACTACCTGGCTCTGAATCCCCCACTTCCACAGAAAGACAAAACACGACCGTGCCTGTGTCTAGCTTGAGAAGCTACAATAGGCAAAATGAAAATTATTGAAAGCCAACTTCAAAAGTACAATCAAGTTAATCCTTTTGTTGAAATTCATAAAACCGTAAAAATAAAGAAGGACATTTCATCAAACTTCCGATAACTAACAATCAAATTGAATATGTAATCAAATTCTTCTCTGTAGAGCCACTGAAAATGGGATAAGATTCCTTAAGCATATGTCTCGCTAATTATTTATAATATTAAATATATGTTTGTTAACTTTGTGGTTGGTAACTCGTGAATTACTATGGTTTACCTCATATCTCTGCTGACATCATGAAATTCACTTAATTTACGTTTTCAACATACTATTAAAGAAGGTAACTTCCAATTCGGTCAAAATATCAATTTTACACGAATTTACACTCCTGCTAAATGACATTTCGCACATGCTCTCTCGAGTAAATATTATAAAGTTGCTGAGCTGAAAGGAGGAGTTTTCTAATCCAAAATGTTCTGTTCTTCCAATATGCACAGGCACTGATGGTTCGATATGCGGATCTGGCTCCAACTGCTAGTATCGAATTTTCAGCACATGCTGCCAACGTCCCGGTCGTGTTATCTTTAAACAACACTTCTCGTGGATACGTTCACGTAATTAGTGTGGTTTCTGGAGAACTGAACCCCTACGAATTAGTACGCAACTTGACAACTTACAAATCGATTAACCCTCAGGGAATTTTTATAATTTTGCACAGCTATTTCGATATGAACTATGAAAAGGTGCGATTAATACAAGTCTTATTCGTCCTACGTTTCGGAATAGAACGCCTGGTTCATCTGTTGCCTTATAAAACCGCGGTGGTGCTTTTCTCCACGGGATATGACCCGATTGCAAGGAAGTGGTCCGTCTTAGGAAAGTCGGTGCCAACTTTCTGCAAAGAGCAACTTGATGAACGCACCAAGAAATTGCAACTTAACACTGCTGTTGAAAATGTAAGGGGCTTTAAATTCGGATTCGCACTTCAGGAGCAGATTACATGGGTCGATAGAGGGGGTAATCAGCGTATAGGAGGTCATGACTACGAGTTCGCCAAGCTACTGCAAAAACTGGGAATGGTGGGGAAATTTATTAAAGGTCCACCAGAGCAAGAACTAAGGGACGACAAAGTGCAGCTATTAATGCCTGTATATAAGCTTTCCATCATCTGGAAAATGGAGGGCGTACTCAAAGCGGAATATTCTGTAGTTGCTGATCAGGTAATAATACAGAGTGAGTTAGTACCTTCAAAAAGAATTGTTCACTAACAGAAAACAAAATACCCCTTGATGTTCTGGTGAAAGCTCACGTACGTCTATTTTTATTATCTAAATGCGGCACCTGTCCTAGATGTATCGGCAACATAAAGTATGTTCTCTCGCCAAAGTAGGGTTTTGTGTGCATTATCTGCGCTTGTGGCATTTCTTCTGTAATCATATTCAATAAGAAGTATCTCGAATGCAGTCAGAAATCTACGCTAAACTTGTTATCGAGCACATACTCGTGATATTAGTACAGCGAACATTTTTTCATGTCTCATCAACATTCAAATTCTTTTTAATTAAGAGTAATAGTAATGACGTCTCAACATTATTCATATCGATAACCATGAGCATTTGCGGCAAAAAATTACAATTACGAACAACTTGATATTATTATCCACTCGAATTATGTGCATGAATATAAAATTTTGGAATATTGTAGTACGCTTCTTATAGGTAATCTAGAAACAATAATTATTAGAATATTAACGGTGATTGGATGATGTCTTCCATCAGTAGTAAAGTATGTAACGAAAAGTGCGAGGTAGTGGCATGATGATTTCCATGCCGCAGAGACAGATGACAAAGTAGAATCAATTCAGCACGCATAAAATTGTTGCGTAAAATTTTCATCTTCAGAAGGCCAAGTTTTTTTATTATGATACCACCATGTAAGTCTTGCTGCTCTACAGAGATAATCCATAGAAATATTGTATAGAATTGAGTTGAGGAAGAAATATATTTTAGATCGACGCTTTCTTCGGTTCTGAGATGTGACAGATCGAAGACAAAATAAAGTTAATCACCAAAAAAGGCTTGTTTACAACCATAGATCTTCATTTTGTTTCGATCTGGGGAAGGATGGCAGATAGAATGACTAAAGTATTCTGATGCTAGCGAGCTGAACGGTTGAAAAGATGCGATATTAAATGTTGAAGAGTTTTAGAAATTTCAAGGTTGAAACGAAAATCCGTCAATTATTAATGACTGTTAAAGTTATAGTAACCATTACAAGACAGTTTTCGAGAGTTTTGTTTATTAATATTAACATTATTTTCTTGTTTGGATATGTAGGACCAAACCGACATTTGATGAGGGCAGCATGGATGTGTTTTCTATGAGAATGCTAGTAGTCGTCATCTAAGAATCCACAATGAAAGGAGTGTAGAATTTCATTTGTATGCAGGGTATCCGTGTGAATACGTAGTTATTTTCACAAATTATATATTTGTATGAATGAATGGGACAAGAATATGATGTTGTTAGGTAACGTTTTCCCGCAATGTTAGCCTATAATTGAAAGTTGATGAAGAGATAGCCACTTATGCGGTAAATAAATTAATCGAAGTAGGTCGTAGTATACGATTTTAATTTGATGTTTCACTTGAGGTTGGATCCGATTATCCCACTCTTATCTGATTCCGGTGTAATTTATTTATTAGTTGAACGGATAGAACTGCTTACGTATGGATCCGTACGGAAGGAATTGCAGACCTAAAGAAATAGTACATGGTCGTCACCATATTTGAATAATGATTTGGTGGAGAGGTGAAATATGATTACGAAATAATTGAAACTGAATCAGTGGCTGAATGAGAGGCAGGGGCAACGAAAGAACCCGCGAACCCGTTTTTTCCACCACAAATTTCCTTAAGGATCGACCGGCATTGGACACGGCCTGAGCGTTTGAAGGAAAGTCGTCTTGAGAGCGTAGGATTTCGCGGCATGAGTCAGTATTTAATTGGCTGTCCGGGTGACGCCGCGTCCTTTGCGAAGGTGCCGACGTTTCGGTCGCCACTCTGCGACCTTCGTCAGGGCGTAATGCGCGGAGATGTACTACGCACGAGATAAAATAGGGCTAAGTTCCCCCTCCACCTGTGTGCCGGTTGGCCGGGTGGCCGGCCAATGCGGAAAGAGTTTCTCCGGCTAATCAGGGGTGGGCGTACCCCCTATTTTAACTCGTGCGCAGTACATATCCGCGCATTACGCCCTGAGGAAGGTCGCAGAATGGCGACCGAAACTTGGGCACCTTTGCCATGGACGCGGCGTCACCCGGACAGCTAATTAAATAAAGAAAGTCGTCTTAACATACGTCAACAGTTCCTATAGTTAACGTTTCATTGTCAATAGTTTGGTAGTTAGTTTTTTTTAATGCCACATTTTCTTTACTGCGAAATAGAAGTTGAGAGACCGCCACCTCACTTGTAACTTCCGGTATTTCATTAGACTTTTCGTTTCAAGAACTTCAGTGGAAACACATTTAGTATGATCTTTTTTGATAATTCTTCTTAAGATTCACTACCATGAACTCTTAGCCGTTTTGAAGCGGCAAGAAAGCATATCAACAACTTGTGCACTAAATGGTGTGCGACGTAGGTCTTTTATTTCCCGACGCAAAGTAACAGAATTAAACCTGTTGTTATGGCAGGAATAAAAACAATAAATTACTCTCTCAAGACGACTGTAACACTAGCTCGTATTACTTTAGGGTGAACCGCACTTACTAGCTTTCCTCAATTAACACAAATCCGTCGAATACCATATTCGATATACGGAATATTCAGACGCGTTCATTAATAATTAATGCTGGTTAATATACTGTCTTAAAGCTGTATGCCCGCATTCTTCCGCGCGCTGAAATCAGGGGTACAGAGTATTTGGCTAGTTGGTCAACTTCTTTCCTTCTCCGTCCAACTGCAGTGTTATCGTTGTAGGGAAATTTCAGTTTTGTGCCGTTTTCTGTTCGCAGTCCGACGATTACCTAGTGGTGCGCAGCGCCAAACGTATTCCATTTGGAATGGTGCTCATTCTGCCCTTTCATTGGGCCACATGGTGCTCGTTACTGGCCGCGTTGGTGTTCTTGGTGGCTGCGTGGAAGATGGTGCGAAGGGATCACAGAACCTCCAGCACAGTCTCCGCTGCCTTTGATGTAATGGGAATTACTCTAACTGGAAGTACTTCGAGGAGATCCATGACCACGTCCTCTCAACGAACGGTAGTCATGTGCGTGATTGTGTTGCATATCGCTGTCGGAAACTGGTACACGGGACTTTTGCTGAGTTCGCTTTCAGTCCCCCAACATTTCAAGGACCTAGACACGATCAAAGATGCCGTGGGTGCAACGGACCGACTTTACATCACTCTTGACTACTTGATTGATTTTGTCTCTGGCGCCCACAACCAATTTGGCAAACTTCTACGTGAAATTACAGTAATTTCTGAGGTAAGAGATAGAGATGAATGCATAAAAGATATAATTAAAACAGGGAAAGCTGCAACTGGTATGGACCGAAATATATTCACCATTTTATCTCGATACCGCAAATATACTAATGACGGACAAATAATGCTGCATAAGGTCAAAGAGCCGATTCGCTCTTTCAGTTTTGGGGCGTATGCGGTTCGTCGCAATCACTTCATACTTCATGTTATCAACAAACTCATCCTTTACGTGTCCCAAGCAGGATTATTTAAATATTGGGACGATAAGCTTGAGTACAGTTTGGATATCGATAGGCAGCAAGATTCTACAGCCTTCGAAGCTGTTGGTCCTGCGAAAATGACTCTGGCTCAGCTGATGGGGCCTTTTCTTGTGTACGGCAGCGGTCTGTGCCTGGCAGCAATCGCATTTGCGTTTGAGCAACTGAGAAGATGCGCTTGGCTGCAAGCAGCACACACGTCGATGAGAATGGCAATTGCTCGGATTCTAAAGTTTCTTTTCTGCCAAACAAGACTTCATTGAATAAAGTTTGCGGATTTAGATCGAACTCTGATACAAAAAAGGTAGTATATTAGTGGAGTTCATATTAAAATATTAATTTTCTATTAAAATACATCTTTGTCCGGGAAAATGTTCAACCCCTGGATTCTTAATATTTTTTTTATTATTTCGCGGATCTAGACATTCTTGGTATCGGCATTGATTCCCCGTGAATTATTATTTACTATTCTGTAACTTAAGCATTATTACAATCACTGTGCGATTTAACAATCACTGCAATCCTGTTCATGTATTCAGTATACAATTTTGTCATGGAGACCTTGTACAGTTGGAGTCATGCACAGAAACGTCCCTCTCAAATATTGTTCTAATACTACGCACATTCAATTACGTTTTCAGAATTATGTAATATGTGATGTATATAAAGCTTATCTTTCTTTGTTTCGTGATTAAAAATGTATTAATGATTAAACCTTCAAACTTCTTTACCAAACCTATCTGCGGTTCTGAATGTTCTGAAAGATATGTGATATGTGTCTTTATAAGTTATTATTAAAGCCTTTAACGTTTATCCCCTTGATCATTAAATTGTGTATCTCTTTGCCATTTTTAAAACTCCAACATATATTGATTATTTAAACGATATATTATGTAGTAATTAATATAATACAATTCGATTATTTTGGATATAGGGTCTCTTTAAGTATTGGCGGTTGTCTTTGTACGTTATTCTTTATATTCTGTATTACAATCATTTTCTCTAATACTATCTCTCTAATTGCGTATGTGTAGAATTATTTAAGGTTAATGAAATGTAAATATTCCTTTCATGGTTAAATAAATCTTTGTAAAAATATTTAAAGTTTTGAAATTAACAATACATTTCAGCAAAAGAAGTATTGGTTGTGTTAAATATGAACGATCATGTTATATGAGTTCCTTAATACTAAAAAAAATGTATTCATAAGGTGGATTGTACATGTTTTATTTGTCATATATATATATACACGCTTCGAGTAGTTTGCCAATAAAGTTATTGTAAAATTATTGTAATTGTTTCAATGATTTAGAATCCCTACGATTTAGAAATCCTTATAATTTAGAGATAATTTATATTTGATTGCGTAAGAAGTAATATTGATTGAAACCC